AAAAAGATTAAAAAATCTAACCAATGCTCGAACAAAATTAAGATACAAACAAATCTGACAGCATCAGCAAACAAACCACAAAGGGGGAAACTATTGAAGACTACCGACAAACCACAAATCAGAGTCCAGCGATGTGAGAAAATGATCCACGAATGCAAAACACATATCCAAATCAATCCGATGGTTCAAAGCAAGGAGGATTAATATAATAGCAAATAAATGTCATCTTGATCACTCGTGGGGATGTCAAATCTAACCCTGAGGAAAAAAAAATTAAACATGAATGATCTAGGATCAAAATGGGATTTCACAATTAGAGAATCAAAACTTTAAACATGAAAGATCTACATTTGGCGAGCTTATTGTCTTGGACATTACAACATATTATACCCAAAGCAAAGAAAGCCCTATGGGCCTAAATAGTAAAGGAAGCCTATATCCCTTGTCTAGGCGAGTCATGATTCATAAACCTCGTCTAACGTTGGACTCGAGCTTTGTTAGGATCAAAATGTGTCCCAAAGTTCAAACTCGGTTGCCCCATTCAACAAGGATAAGTCCAAGCTCCAAGCACACAATCAACAACACAAATACTATGAGGACGTGGTGCATTTAAGTCGACGTGAAATAATTAAAGTTTGGCCTCGTTAAGCAAGTAACTGAAACAGTCATGATTTGGCATTTCGACAGTTGATCTTTCGCTTTGCCATAATTTTTTCCCTAAAGCATCACAAGTCATTCCAGAAACAGCTTCTTCTTCTTTTCACTATTTTCTTGCCTTGTATGCCCTACGTGTTCACATTATTCATTCAAGGAACCAAAACTGTAACAGTCGTTGAACAAACGATGATTATAACAGTCCAGCATGGCGTTTCTTAAGAGGGATCATCGCTGACCTCGTCGTTTAATAAAGCAGTATAATTTATGTTTGCCTTTCCATAAAATAAACCAGAGAGCCAGCCAACCCAAGATGCATGATTATTAGTATAATTGACTTTGGTAGGTTTACGTAAAGATGGTGGTAGCTAGAGAGTGGACTCCTTTTAAGCTGCACAAAATCTGACATTGGGATACACCCAAATCACCACAAGCCTTCCTGCCAAGTGCCAACCCCATGTTTGCTTCATAGCTGGTATCATCATCACCACCACCACCACAATAATTATGGTAACCATTGCTTTTTCACAATGGCTTGCATTTTTCATGGACCGAACACGACCAGTGATAGGCCCGAACTCCGGATCAAATTAAACACTTTTTTATCGGTTCGTGGGGCACCAGAGAAAAACACTTGCAGATTTTCTGCCTTCTCTCTCCAATCTTCCTTTATTGTGGGCCCGGAGACAGCTAATTTGATGACAAATAACGCAAGTAAATAAAAAGAATGGGGAAATATAAAAAGTGGTTGTCTATTGTCCTGATGTGAAACTTGACGACGTTAAAAAAACCCGTTGATGCTACACACATGTACAGTCAAATATATTCCTGAATATACTTCACATATTTTTTACGAGTTAATCAGTTAATTTGATCTTCCAATGTATGTGGATGTAAATAAAAAAATATTTAAATTACTTAGGTAATTTAAATTCCAACAATCGAACATTTGTCATATTTTTTTTAAACATCTATAAATCATTTTAATTTCGATATTTGATATCTCAAATCTTTATTCTATTCGATTAAATATGTAGCACTTGGAGGATTAGTTTTTCTTTTTTATCGGGGAAAAACAGTGAAAGCAAAAACATAGCTGGGAAACTGGCCCATACATAATAACCCTTCACTAGTTTTCTACCATTTTGGTTTAACTTATGAATAGATATCCCTCTCATCATACCATAAATGTTCTAAAAATTCCATGAAACAACCAATCCTGTCGTGCCATGTCACATTACCACATATTCATGACGCCCACATTACCTAACCATGTCTCAACCCAATTTATACGATTGAGGTCTTGAGGACGCCATGCTTTGAAGATGTTATCGTTAATAATCATCATATTTAATGATCATAAAAATTGTTAATCATGAATATCGCATGCATATTCAGTAAACATAACAGATCAAACTTAAATAGTATAAGAAGAAAAACATTCATTTTATCATTGAAAATACATGATAATTGTAGCTATAGTTCCTAAATTAATTTCTCTGCCAATACTCTTATGGAGTGTGGATGGACCATGCATGTGCGTCTTATGAAAGCATTTAGTAGCGTAGTAACGAAACAAATATGATGCGGTGGAAATAGTTGATCAAAAGAAACAATGTGGATTGGGGGGACGCCTTCACGCTTGCCTCCCACTCGCCGGTCATCTGATAAATGTCCCCCACCCACGTACCCGTAATGGAAGAAATACTGGCGTCGGTCTCGAAATTTGGGGGAGAAATAAAGGTAAAAATAAAATGGATGTGGTTTGAAAAAGAAGCAAAAAAGGACAGGTGAATATTATGGGTGTTTAAATCCGGCTACTTGGGTTTCGGCTACTTGATTGATCGGCCCGTGTCTTGATCGGATATTGTGGGTACCGGTAATCAAGTACTCGTAATTAGGATAATCGGGTACCCGATTTTTATCATTTTCAAATTATTAATTAAAAAAAATATACAAATTTAAATGTTCAATTTACATACTCCAACATATAAACATATAATTTAAAGTGGTTTTTCCGTGGGAGTTCTTTTTAAAATTTTATTAGTTTAATTTAATATATAAAATTATTAATAGTTAAATATGTAATATTATTATATATAAAAAATAAATGTAACCACGTACTCGAAAGTTCTGAATACTAAAAAAAATTTATTTTTGTAACCCGTGCCCGACGCGGGAAATGTGGGGCCTGATACTCGACCGGAAACTTGAAACTTTTTAAAAAAAAGTAACTGTATTTTTTTATCAGGTTGACAGATCAACTTATACCTAGTAAAAATTATGGGTTTTAATCGTATTTGGATCAACTAAAGACTGGGAGCCAGGAGATGTAGGGGTAAGATGAAGGTTAAAAGTAAAGATTGCGTGGCATTAAGATATTTTTCCGTGAGATAGTTTTAATATACGACTACGAAAATATATTATTGAATTTGTTATTATTTTTTTAATATTTTTAATAAAAAAATTACCTAAAATATTAAAGTTTCTGCACGTGAGACTTTCCTATGACATTTTATTCAGCACATTGGATCATTATATTTTGGTGTTTTTAAGGTTTAAATTCTCATCATAAACTTTATACAAATAAAAAAACAATTCTAGGCAAAAAAAACTAATAGTATTCACGTCAATTAAGACCATCAAATTTTACTTTTTAGTAAATAAATATTATTTATTTTAATAAAATTAAACCATATATTATCACCTGAGAATGTTACTTTAATAAAAAAAAGTTTATAGGTTATGATTAAAATAAAACATGTGCAAGTTTTACTTTGATCGTTTATTAATCTTTTAATTAATCAATGTGATTTTTGTTGGTCTGAGTTCGGTGGATCAACAACTAGGGAAGAATATATGAAACCAATGTTCTTTGGGTTTATTAGGTGTCTCCATTCCAACTAAAATGATTTTTTTATGTAACAAAAATTGTTTGTTACAGCGTTTTTGACTTTTTTTAATGGCTTGTGCACTAAGAAAACACCGAAATTAAAAAGAAAAATAAGAAAAGGACTAAACAAGTTGGAATTGTGATCTGGACGGTGTTCCAAAAATCGTTGCCGTTTGTTAAACCAAAGCTATAAGCTAACCAACAACTGGAAGGAAGATAAAGCAAATAGAATAAATTTCTGTTAGCGCCGTCATGGAAATCAGGAGACGCCGGTGAATGCCACGTCAACAATCCGTGAGGTGCTGCTGCTATTAGTATTTCTTAAAAAATCCCGTCAGTGAGGTCACCCAGACCGACCACCAAATCAAAGTCCTGCTGGGCGGACCCTTCCAATTTTGCCGGCCTTAACCCAGCTGTCGTGGTCCCCACATTCGGGGGCCCTTATTTTCTAGCCGATATTAACTCTCATTTCTCCTCAATTTCTCATATCCCTTTTTTTTTTAATTTTATTTTGCCGGCTACCTCTTTAAAAACATTTGTCAAAAGTAATTATTTTGATTTGATGGATCGAAAAACTGTAAATATCATATGATAGGTTTAAAGATTATAAGATGATTCAATGGTTCATATGGACATTTTACCGATAAATAGACATGATGTATTTTATAAACTCCAGAAATGGCGGTAGTGTATTTTCCCTATTAAAAATAGTGATAGTCTAGTCTACCTCAAGATGGTAAAAAATATAATTTTTAGTTAGATCTCATAATATAATTATGAATCGTTGGTGTCGTAAAAGTTTATACATTAACTAATCATATTGTACGTTGATGATATAGTAATAACATGATATAATATTAAGTAATTAATCAATTTTTTTTTTAATTTTTAGGTTGACGTAAGGTAACTTAAAAATTAAACAAATAATAATTTATTAACTTCTTAATACATTTATATGTATATAATTAAAATAAAAATGTAATGAAAACGATCGAAGGCAACTCATGGAAACATAACCTAAACACATTGTCAAGAAATACACCTTTTAACTTTTATCCAATATTATAAAAAACATAATATAAACACTATAATATATCTATATAAACTAACCACATTAAACTCTTTAACTCATGAAACTAATATGTATTAAATTACGATATTAGTCTCTACAGTTAATTTCTTTAGCGTGTATTTTTTAAAATGATTTTAAGGTTGATGAAATTTAATTCTGTTAGCTAATCATGGAACAAAGAGTTTAAACTTCAGTATTTTAAAATTATATTTGTGGGTAAAATTCCAAAATTCTGTTAGCTTTCTTCTGTAAATAACTAAATTTAATTTGAGAGCCAAAAGAGATTACAAAAGCACCGATAAAATGGGGTCAAATGACAGTCCAAATTGCTCGAGAAAATCAACCAGATTTCATGTTAGCTTTTCCATATCCACATCCAATTTCCATTTTCCCGCGAGAACAAACAAACCAGAGCCAAGACGAAACCACCACACATGCTACCATGTCTAAAACAAAACACTGCCGAAGTTCCTGAGACACAAACAAAGGAACCGAAACATTCTAGAGGGGGTTTGCTGTTGACCCGACTTCGAGACTTCCACAGTTCTACCCACAGCGTAGATGTTTACGAAGCTCTTCACCGTCCACACCGTTTATTTTGAGCCACCTTCCTTCTTTTAAAAGAACTCTCCCACCCACGATTCTCTTGAAACAGCCGGGAAAAAGGCTAATTCCTGCCATGGATCCATGCCCATTTGTTCGTTTGATCGTCGAATCATTGGCCCTGAAACTCCCACAGGCAACCAAACCAGCCGGTTCCGGCGTTTACCCGACAACGACGCCGTGTTTTTGCAAGTTGAAACTCAAAAACTTCCCGTCTCAAACGGTTTTGTTACCTCTCAGCAACAGCTCCGGCGATTCTCCTCCCGAATCCTCAACTTCCGCCGCCGGTTTCCACCTCGATAGCTTAACTCTCCGGCGTCTATCCGGGAAGCCCGTGACTCTGCGCATCGAAGTCTACACTGGGAGGATGGATCACACGTGTGGTGTCAGTTCTGGGAAGCTGGTGGGTCGTGTTCAGATCACTATAGACTTAGCTGTGTCACAAACCAGGCCCTCGGTATTCCAAACTGGGTGGATGAAACTGGGGAACGAACCGGAAAAACCAACCGCTAAACTTCACTTAACGGTCAAGGCTGAACCAGATCCCCGATTCGTCTTCCAATTCGGCGGAGAACCGGAATGTAGCCCCGTCGTGTTTCAAATTCAAGGCAACATTAGACAACCCGTGTTCAGTTGCAAGTTCAGCGCCGATCGCTCAAGATCTCGGTACGTTCCTCTTTTTCCGTTTTCACTTTCAATACGGATCATTTCCGGTGAGTTTTACACTTTTAACTGGATCCCAAAAGTCAGTCTAATGGTTCTTTGATTTGGGTCTCCGTCACTGTTATGCATCTGGGATTGTTGCTTTTAGTTTCCCAACACCACCGGTTTTTAACACCTTATCTAATTTAATGGATCAATGCCAAACTGATGACGGGAAAGTCTCTGTCTTTTGCTCTCTTTTTTCATTTGAGTAAGGTTGGCGATGGCATTGCCCATTTTTTTACTTTAATTGAAGTTTTAATGGATGGGATTCCATAGTTGCTGAAGCATAGCTTTTTTTATATTATCTGATCAAGATATCCTTTGGCATGAAAATCACAGCCAAAAAGAGCATAGCTTTATTGTTATTAATGGAACCAGATGATGATGGTTGAATCCGTTTGATCTCTTACTTTCCCTGTCACTGCATTCTTTATGCCAGCTTTTCGGTACTGATTTAGAGGTTCTACAATTAATGAAATCATCAAATTCCATTGGTGAACTCTGCTTCAACTTCAATTTTCTTTAGAAAACGATCCGCTTGAGAACAAAATCTCTTATTATTGATGCTTGATGTAGAATAATATCTCTCGGTCTCATGTTTAGTTGATGTCAAACAGACAATTTTCTTTTTATATCTCCCTGACTGTCATCTTTGATTCTCTCCCATGTGCACTTACGCTTGATGATGATTTTTTGTTTTGGATATTCTTATTTGATGGAAACGTGTTTGTTTAATTTGTTTTATTTTTGCAATCTTTTGTGTACCGATTGCTTACTTTTTTTACCTCGTTGTCGATCGTGCAATCAGATCTCTCTCACCGGATTTTAGTAACAAGAATAGAGGATGGATGAGAACATTATCGGGAGAAAAGGAAAGGCAAGGAAGGGAGAGGAAGGGATGGCTGATAATGATACATGATCTCTCAGGCTCTCCCGTTGCAGCTGCTTCGATGATCACTCCATTTGTACCCTCCCCAGGCACAGATCGGGTTTCCAGATCAAACCCCGGTGCATGGCTAATTCTCCGCCCCAACGGCTTCCCCGTCAGCAGCTGGAAACCATGGGGTCGTCTTGAAGCATGGCGTGAACGGGGTCCTATCGACGGTTTAGGCTACAAGTTTGAACTTGTCACCGAAAACGGCCCAAACAATGGTATCCCTATTGCCGAAGCTACAATGAGTGTAAAAAAGGGTGGTCAATTTTGCATAGATAAGAGAGTATCAAACGACTCGTTTGCATTGAGTTTAAGGTCACCCGTCAAGGGCTTCGTGATGGGGGCGACCGTGGAAGGTGAAGGAAAAATTAGCAAGCCTGTGGTACAAGTTGGGATGCAACATGTGACATGTATGGCTGATGCCGCATTGTTTATTGCACTATCAGCCGCCATTGATCTTAACATGGATGCTTGCCAACTTTTCTCGCGTAAACTCAGGAAAGAGCTTTGCCATGATCACGGCAACGATTCATTCTCTTTAAACCCTATTTAACTCCCCTTCTTTCCTCCTTAATTTAGTTTTTTTTTTCTAGCTCATACTTTTTTTTTCAAATTTTATTTAGTACGAGGTGTGCCTGCTGATCATTTGGCTTTGAAGAGGCTCTTCTTGGGTTGACAAACATAAAATCCTTACGTATAATTCACTCAGTTTTTGATCGTCTTGTATTTTTCTTCTTTCTTTCGACACACACACATTGAACAGTTCTTTAATTTGATGTTGGGTTCATACGTACCTTGGGGACTGAAATTGTATAGATTGAACACTTAGTTGTTTTTGTTCATGGTTTTTTACATTTACATTCTTTACTTTCATTAACAGTTTTTATCCCCACGACCTGTTGAATTTACTTTAGAACGATTAAATAATGATAGGGGAGAGAGTACTTCTCAGACGCATGTGAGTCCACTGTATCTTGATGTGCTCTCTGCTTGTCTTTCAAGGATAAGGCTCGATGTAGGCTTATAAATGAACCGAACGAATACGTACGGGGTATGTTCGTGCGTTTAACTATAACCGAATAAATGAACAAATACGAATATAAACGAACAAAAAATTTATTGTTCATGTTTGTTCGTTAATCAATATAGCATGTTCTTATTCGTTCATTTAAATTATAAACGAACACAATAAATGAACATAAATGAACGTAAACGAAAATATTTTTTTTTTCTTTCCTAACAATTTTAGGATTATATTTTATATAATTGTTTTGAGCTTTTTTATTTGTATTTAAAATTAATTGAATTTTAAAATATTTATGGTATCATATTAAAATTTATTAGGTTTTAATATTTTAAATTAATTTAGATAGATTGTACTAAGCATAAATGAACGCACATAAACAAACATAAATGAACTCACATAAACAAACATAAATGAACGAACATAAACGAACATATTACCGAACGTTCACGAACGTAAATAAACGAACGAGTCCTCTATTCATGTTCGTTCATTTAATTAAACGAACAAAAAAATATTATTCATGTTCGTTCATTTAATTAAACGAACAAAAAATATTATTCATGTTCGTTTGTTTAATAAATAAACGAACATAAACGAACTTCCCGCCGAATGGTTCACAAACGATTTGCTGAACTTTTGGTTTGTTTACAGGCCTAGCTCGATGTGTATCATATGCTCATTAAATTATGATTTGAAGTACGGTAGAACTTCGATAAATTAATAACCTTCTAAGACCTAATGTCTAAATTAATAAGATAATATTTTTTAAAAACTTTTATATAAATTTATAACCTATTCAATATTATAACCTATGACAACTTAGTAAAATATGATGTTATTATTGTTTGTTTCTTCTTAAATTTTAAATTTAGTTGTATTTCATCTTTAACTTTCTTTATTGCATCCAAAAGTACTGGTGTTGTGTTCTGATACTGCAACAAAAATTATAAGTTGTTTCATTCCGCGTAATTATTTGTAAATGCATTGTATCATCTTCAGTTTCATCATCAATGAGATTTCCAATAATAGTAGTTACAATAAACTTGCATTAAATTTTAAGTAATACTACGTACTATAATGACTTTTGATTTTTTAAGAGTATATATTATATTTAATTAGTCACATTGTACATGAGCATCATTCAATTATTCAATACAATCTATATGTTTTATTTATAAAAAATAATGTAGGTTTGTGGAATCGAAAATAATCTTTTATTAATTTATCAATTAACTAATATTTTTTAAATTAATAAAATTATGTGATTCTAATATTATTTTATTTAAATTAATTACATATATCCAATCTATTGATCTACTAATTCAGAACGAGCACTGCAAAGGTGAGGGCGACCCTCCCAATCCAGTTTGCTCAATTCGTAAACGCTAAAGTTCGAATTTCTGACTTTACTTAAGAGATCTAGTGTCTCATCTCACTAGACCAACTAATAATTAATTATAACATTATTAATTTATAGAGATTTATTGTCCATAACTTGAGCCTACTTTAATATACTTTTGTCAATAGGAATATATTCACGAAAAGTAGGGACAAAATAGGATGACAGTTCATATATCAGTGTCGAGATTTACTAAGACTGAGCCTAAAAAGTAAACACTACATTAATAACATTTATATACAAATTCTGTCTTTTATAATCGGATCCTTGATTTGGGTAGTAAAGATCCGATTATACAAGTATTCCATCCCTACCTGAATATTATGTTAGCATCTTTACAAATCCCTTTCTGGACTTGTTCAAATACCTGAATATACACGTCTTATCCATTCAAAGACGGATAACATTTATAACAAAGATGTGAATCAAATCCTTGAAGGAAACGCTAACTTCTTGTGTAATGAGATTCATGGAGGCGATGATGATGTTAGATTAGCCTCCAAATTCCCTAGCAATGCCCCACAAACAAGAGGCTGTGCTGCTGGAATTCTCAGACAACTCAACCCACTTCCAGGGATCACAGAACACTCTGGTTGTGGTCTCTGCATGTCTCTCCCGGGGATACAATTGAGCGACAAGTCCAAACCGGCATTCCCGATGAACAATTTGGAGCATTCTTGGCTAAACCCAGAGAAGAAATTGTAGGCAGCAGTCAGATTGATGAGGTTCCTCAAGGAACAAACCAAATCGGGTAGCTCACCAGATAGCTGATTGTGCGCCAAATTGAGAACCTCAATGTCAGTCAGGCAAGAGATTGTGTCTGGCAAATGACCCATGAGTGAGTTGTGGCTCACATCTAAAACTTGCATCTCCGAGAACACCCCAACGCCTTGTGGAATGCAGCCTGTTAACTGGTTGTTAAGAAGCAAAATCTCCTTCAATTTTGAACTCGCGAAGCCGAAACTAGCTGGGATGTTCCCACTGAATTTGTTGTTCGCCAAGTTTATCACCGAAGCTGGAGAACTCCCCAGATTTTGAGGGATTTCACCCTCGAACTGGTTGTTGTTAAGGAAGATCGCATCGAGCCCCTTGTTGAATAGATCTTGAGGGATGGGTCCCGAGAAGCTGTTGAACCTAAGGTCCAAATAAACAAGATTTGGAATGTACAGAGTGACTCTAGGAAAAGAACCCGAGAGATGATTGTTACTGAGATCCAACTCTTGAAGCGATGAAAGGCCTCTGAAAGTGTCGGGAACGGTGCCCGAGAACTGGTTGCTGTTAAGATGAATGATCGAAACATCTGTAAGAACAGACAGTTCACCAACAAGAATGCCTTGGAGGTTCGCATGGTTGAGATCTATGGCAGCAACAAATGTTTCAGAATCAGAATCCATAGCACAAAACAGCCCTTTATAAGCACACACATCTGAGCCAACCCAAGTCTTCAAAATCCCCAATGGGTCGTCAGTGATCGCAGATTTCCATGCTTGGAGAGCGGTGTAAGCAGCACTCAGCTTTGACACCCAAGGGCCTGAAGGGGGAGTTTGGCTGTTGCCGATCCCTCCACCAATCCAAACACCACCACCACCGACAACGCCGCCACCATTGCCTATACCAATGCCAACACCACCACCCACAGTGATGGCCGCTTCATTTGGAACTATCTTCCAAAGGACTAAAAAAGCCAGTAGCGGGAGCCAGCTCTTCCCCATTCTTCAATGTTGAGGACACCTAGATAGACGGATGGTTTATTGTGATGCGGTTAGTTTTGCTTGTAGGGTTGTCAAATGGAGGCTTTATGCAATCTGGCATTGATGAGAGGACATTTTATGTATATTTAACAGTTTCAAGCTTTTATTATTATGTAATCTAATTTTTTTAATTAAATTAAAGTGATTACAAAATAATATATGTTCTAAATATTCTCAATCATTTAAAAATAAACGTTTAATCACCTTACCGTAATTGTTAGTACTTGAACCCGTGACTTCTAGGAACAATAAAAATTTATTTTAACTACTAAGGTAAATCATGCTTGTAATCTAATTGTTAAATTTGAAAAAAAGAAAATACATGCACAATGATTAGGTCGGAAATGCACGAGAATAATGGGGGTTCCAATTCCAGTACAGGGGATGTTGATTTTTCATAATTGGGACCAGAAATAGGCATTTAGAAATGATCAAGCCAAGTTTACGAAAGAGGTGAAAAAGGAATTGGTAGGGGAAATTGGCCTATCAACAACAGGCAAGAGTTTAAATTTGTTCTTTGAAAAGATTCATCTGTTCCATCTTCAACCTTACCTTCCTCACAGAACCATCCCCAGCAGCATTGATTGTGATGTGAGCTGCTTATAAATAGATTCATCTAACCTCTGTTAAACAACTCAATGCCAAAGCCTTTTTTTTTTTTCTTGAAAATTGAATCTTTTTAAACCAACGAATTTTTGCTCACCATTCAAGCCCGATGACGACTGGGTCACAACAAATCTTTTCGAGTTTCGGCTTAAGTCACTACACGCACGATTCATTCATTTGTTAAAAGACTTAACGTGCAATGTTTCCTTCCATGTCTGGTGGTACGAACTAAACTCGTAATCATTCGTGCAACTTTAATTTCCTTATTGGATGGCAGCTAAGCTTTCATCGCAGTAGCTTAGGCTTTCACATAATAAAGAGGGATCGACGCCCCTTTCAATTTCTAAACATCTTTCATCTAAAAAGTCAAATCCCAAGAGAATTACATACAGATTAATTAATATTATACCGTGATCAGAAATTGGTACATTTTGTATCTTTGGTATTTATTGCTATCACATTTAACAAATGTTCATTGTGTGCACATGTTTCCTATTCTTAGCTTTACAGGTAAACCTCTTGAGTAAAACGACAACCTTGATGGCATAATTTGGGATTTCCATGTTCACTTACATACTTCATCGGTAATTGTACGGCCGTGACAAATACAATTCAAGGGGTATTCCTTGTCGCGTTGCAATCAAAATGTTTGAAACATCCATGTCATGGGTTATGTAAAAGACGATGCATCCATTGCATTTGCATGCATGAAAAACTATCTATAACGTTGCTTTCTACTTACCTATTTATTTTCTTAATGTGATGGCCAATACGAATTTGGTAATACAGGAGAAGACATCATCACTGAAACTGCATGGTTTTTTTCGCATGAAAAAATGGGCCAAGATTGGGAAGAGGTCTGAGTTCATCTAATGGGCTACTTTTAATTGGTCATGAGGTACCATCCTAATGGGCCCGTCATCAATTCATCGCCAACGCTCATAAATTTATAAATGTTAAAAATCTATATTAAGTAGATAGAAACAGGGGAGTTGAAAAAGGGGTACCCATATTTTCGGATATCCGGAATTTTCGGATATCAAAAAGTTGGCTCGTATCTCGAACCATTACATCTGAATACTCGTATGTCGGATACCTGTAAAATCTGAGTACATGTATTCTCGGGTCAAAGGACTCAGATTATATTTTTTTGTTCTTCTTTAAATTATATTATTTTAAAAAAAATATATGGACAAATTGAACGCAAGTCTCCTAATAAAATAATCACACTTAATCATTAGGCTAAACCTTGAACTTGTTATATTATGGACAGTTAAAATCTTTGTTAAAATAAGATTGAAATTAATTAATATTAATATATTTTTAAATTCAATTTTACTTTTTATCCAATTGAATCCCTAAAAATATTTAATTGAGATATAAATTTAATTCTACATTTTTCTAAATTTTTTAAAAATCATTATTTTCAAGGTTAATTTTATAAATAAAATTAATATATATTAAAATTATTTTTAAATCGCATATTAATCTCTTAATTTTTCAATTAATACAATTCATGTCCCTGTTGTAAAAGATCGAAACTAATGGTCCAAGAGCTGGCCCAGGCAAACCGGAACGCTCGGCCCTTACTTTGACAACAACGATTTCTTAATACTTTCCACGTCATACTTGGGAGAAAGAGAACTGAGCTTAAACAACGAGTTGGGAGGTGAAAGTTTCCGGTGTTTCTGGACCTGTGAGTAGGTGCCTATCTGAAGAACGCTAAAGAAGGTCACTCCAATGATTATTGATGTGTATAAGATGAGTATCAATTATACAACCACTGAATTATTTTATATACCCATCTATGGATCATGTAATGGTAAGAAACAGCCTAATCCCCTGTTTTTAGGTGCTGCCTAAACTTTGTTGTTTAGTTAACAATGTTCAGTGTAAAAAACTAGACAACTAGCCTGTATTTCCAAACAGGTCACCCAAAGGTAGAGGAATGTTGCATTATTCGGTACCTTGCAAGTAGCCAAACCGTATCTCATTTTGATGTGATGCACGTTGTTGTTGTCGAAGATGAAGTTGTAATTAGATTGACCTTTGGAGTATCTAACCTTGTTTCCTAGTCTTGTACCATCAGGAACCTGTTCAAAGCAGCTTGGACATTGAACAAGTAAATAAAGAGACAGACCAGACAGAAGGAAACTTCATCATGGTCTGATTCTGGTTAGGAAACTGCTCAAAGGGTAAAGTATACGTTAATTAGTTTCTTAAAGATTGATCATGTGATACTGATTCATCAATGGAGTTCCACTCATGTTACTTTGCATGCAAATTCAACTGCGATACAACAGATGCTGGAAATTTTGGTTCAAGTACTAACTGTTGTATCAATCACAGTCTTATCTAACCTTATCTTCATCTCACAATATAATAACAAGAGCATCCCCCCAATATCATGAAAGAAAATGGGCTTATAATCTGCCATATAAAATGTTCCTTTCACCTTTTTTTGCGTCAATCCGCTTTTTAAAAGCTGATAGGCTGATGAAATGGCATGAGTGGGGTTTAAATGAACCGAGTTTAAACGAACAATGTTATTTTCATATTTGTTTATTTATTTTTTAAGATGTTCACGTTAAGTTCGTGTTCGTTTAAATTTTAAGTATAATGTACGTGTTCGTTTATTTATTTTTGAAGGTGTTCGTGTTTGTTTAATTATTATTCACGAAACATGGTCGTTTAATATTCGTGAATGTGTTCGTTTATTTGTTCACGAATGTATTCATTTAATGTTCAGTAATATGTCCATTTAGCGTCTTTATATGTTCTCTTTTTAGTTTTACCTTTTCAAGCTAAAGAAAAATGGTAAAATTATGTCACTAGTGCTTAAACTCTTTAAAATTCATAGTTTATATTTCAAATTTTATCATGTGTTCAATTTAGTCACTACCTTCACCAATATTTAAAATGTAAAAAAAAAGTAACGAAAAATTGGGTAAAGGAGCTTGTACACGAACATAAGCAAACGAGTCGATAAATGAGCTCATAAACGAGCTACTTTAAGAACATAAACGAATCGAACACATCTCTGTTCGTGTTCGTCCGTTTATTAAATAAACATAAAAAAATTTGTTCGTGCTCGATTATTTAGCTTAAAAAACGAACATAAACGAACGTTATACAAACGGTTCAAAATTATTCACCTAATCCTCTGTTCATGTACACCCCTAGACATGAGACATAAGTTACATCATTGATAATGTAATATAAAACATTGTTTTGAATTATTATATATCTGCTGGATTATCCCAAAAAGAAACTTAGCTTGCGTAGCCATGTCTTTGATAAAATTATTCATATATGCAGGAAATGCGCACCAATCTTTCCTAACTACTACGAATTAGGTATATTTTAACAGGGAAGAGTCTTAACTACCACGCACAGCCGCCTGCACCTCCCATCGAGTCCAAGTGGACAATATATATGTCAGAGTACAGAAGAAAATGATACAAAAGGAAGCTAACTTTAGTAAGCTTCACTCTATTCAAGGAACACACAGAATTAACCATCACAATTAAACTACAGGCAACTGGTCGATCAAAGGAAGGTTTACTTCACAACTGTTTAAGAAATACACAAAGATTTGATTTTAACAGGCCTCCTGAGATCAGTTGGGCTGGTTACTATGTCTAAAAAGAAGCTGTGCTACTGCTATGGTATTGCTGTTTGAGAATAAAAAAAAAGGTGGGGGCAGTGCCATGTTGTGATATTCCTTATTGCACTACACAATTCCCCTTGCAACTTCTTTATGGGACCAAATCTCTGCCAACCCCCAAAGCCCCTAAATCACTTCAGAGTAATACTTCTTTCTAGTTTCTTTTAAAAGCACCCAAAATCTCCGATAAAGCTAAAGAAATTGAATATCAGCTTTTTAGGCTGAACAAGACATGTCATTCACTTTCGTTTTGGTTGCATGTGGAAATAGACACATTTCCTCTTTCCCTCCACTCTATTATTTATACCCCCAACATTCCTACTATGTTTGGATTTTCCCTTTTTGGGTTATTATTTTTCATATACATTCTACTGGAACATACATAAGATATAATGTTAGGGGATGAACTTATAAAATTTTAAGAGTAAAAAATAAATTATCAATATAAGAATTTAAAATTTTTAGATCTCCGTCCATGTATTCTACACTAACCCTCGAGCATTTCCACACCATGGATTTTAGAGTCCCCAACCCAAAACCCATTTCTTGCACATACATTTAATTCACAAATATGTCTAAAAAACGATGCTTTATGGGCGTTAGTAGATCACTTGTAAGTCTATATAAAAAATGACAAGATGAAAGAATATTTGCCATAAGCTATGAGAATGGGTCATTTTCCAAACCATGCATAAAGCTTATTCTTGTCTGCTCATTCGCTTGTTCAAAACCTTCAACTATTACTTTCAGAAACTACGATGAAGCTGCCCTGCCATCCATCTTCTATTCAGCTTTATTAATTCATGCTCATGCACGTCCCATGAAAGCAGAAAGATGACATCTACGTTACTCTCTCTCACTTTATGGTGGGGACATAAGTTCATTTCATTTGCTCTTATATATATAATAGGGTAAAGTACACAAATGCTCCCCTGACTATAGGATACTATTTTATTAAGTCCCTCGATTATTAAAAGTTACAAAATAATCACCGACTATTCATTATGTTTCAAAGTCATCCTTTTTCGTTAAAATATTGGTATGGTTGAGATATGATAGTTGTTTGATATTTCGAGATTAGATCTGATTATATCAGAGTCAACAGCTTAACGTTCAACTCATATTATCATCAATGTTTTAACGAAAAATGACAGCTTTGGAACATAATGAATAGTCAGATATCATTTTGTAACTTTTAATTGTCAAGGAACTCAAAAAAGTAATACTCTACAATCGAAGTACCAATTTATAACTTTTAATATTCGATTAACTTAATAAAGTAATATTCCTATTATCGAGAGATCATTTGTGTACATTACCCTATATAATACTAGTATTATATATAGAAACAAAAGCTCGACTCTAAGGAATAAATTTAAAAGCAGAAGATTCCCAATTAACAAAATACAAAGGAAAAGACCGGTGCTTTTAAAATGTGATTTCTGCTGCTATATATATTGTTGAAAGATTCCAAATTCATATATATATATCGACGAAACGCCAGATGTTATTCTCTCATCCTTTTGATATGTAATTTAATTATCTAAATACAAAGAATCAAACAAAACTCCTTTATTAGAAGTGCGATAACCACTTACAAACAAATCATGGTGCATGGACGTACGAAGTTTTTATTACATAAAAGAACTTTGAAAAATAAAACAAAAAGCATGTTCTTAAGTAATTTCGTCGTGGTAATATCTCATCGTCACCTTAATATGATAGAAATTTACAGAAAGGAAATTGAAATTAAACATGGAAAGAAATTAAATTATTTAATTGAGAGAGAGATGCTCAAAGAAGCAAAATAAATATCGAAAAGAGTGCTCGACCTCATAAGTCAACATTTCACCAACTTTGATCTTCATGATTATTAAATAGCAATGGTAGTTGATTCTTTTGGACACTTGGTTTGGCGAGCATACTTAATTATGGCACTGCTGTGCTGTCTCCTTAGACATTAACGAGATATATAGTAGGGACAAAGCAACTAATTTTACTTCAAATAAGGGATTTGAATTTGACCATGCCAATTGGTTTGGCGGTTCTTGTAGTTTTTTTAGGGCTGGGTAGACTGGAGTCGGTTAATCTTTGGTGGCGAGTGTTCTTATTAAGTGCAGGTGGTGGTCTTCACCAAGGAGCAGTTGTTCGATTAGCAACAGCATGCAGTGTGTTTCAGTTCTGTTAGAGGTGGTCCTGAATTTATTTCAAATTCGGAGCTAGGTCCTTGGCGTTGGTGGATTTTCATCGCTGAATTAGAGAGTTTGGTTATTTGCAACTGAAAAGGAGTTGGGCGTTGGCCGCAGTCCTAATGTTGCTTTACTGTTGTGCAAGGAATTTGATGTCTTGATATGGTTGTCTGGGCGTTCTAGTCTTTTATGGTCGGGGTTTGTTTAGTGGGTTCAGTAGGTTCTAGGAGTTTGTTGTTTGTTTCTGTTGTGTTTTTGTTTCTTCTTGTTAGGTCGAATAGTCTAGGGAGGTTTTTAACGAAATATTCTTCCATAACGAATTATCAATAAAATCAATTTTTACAGAGCAAAAAATAAAATAAAATAATGTTGTATATTTGATAGTAGTTGACTTTGTACTCTCTTATTCGAGGAGACTAATTTTTTTAAGTGAAAGTATGTTTATAATCTGAATCCTAAATATTAGGATTTAAATCAATATAAAGTATGGAAGACCAACTCTAGCCGTCTCTTTTTTAACTTAGTTTTCTTTTAATACTCTACCGTCTTCTTTTTTCTTTTTGATTTTTTTAACTGGCGACAACACTAATTTTATTGTTGTTTGTTGACCGTCGCTGACTATTAATTCTCTTTTTTTCATATTATGAAATATTATATGTCCTTGTGAAATGATTTTGTTCTGCTCTTGTGGCACGATCCTCATGGTTATTGGTATATTTTTTTTGCATACATTTGCAGTCGTTTTGGTCCTTGCACAAAAACTATCACGACATTTATTTTCTGATTGATTAATCTGTGGTCATGTATAGTAAGATCTCTTTTTTTGGTAAAAGATTGTTGGTCGATATAATCAAATTGTGTAGTGAAACAACCTGTCAAATTATTTGGTTCGCTCTCCACTCTTTTATCACTTCGTCAAACGACTCATTCGACAAGGATAAGGAGTTTTTATGAATGTTATTGAGTTTTGATGTTGGTCCGTCATTCTTATTGGAAAGTTTTATTTTTCTTCGTATCTTTAGTTTTAATTTTTACTTTTGTATGAATATTTTGGTGACTATTGTCTCCAAATTTATCTATATATTTTGATGTGTTATAATTTTGATTTCTTCCCTCATTAATAAAATTCAACTGTCATTATTCAAAAAAATCAATATAAAGTATGAAAATAGATTAATATGATCATTCTTGATCATTCGATCAATTAATGAATCTCTATTAGATTAATTTACGGTTAAACGTTTATAATTCATACTATATATATGATCGAGTAAACTTTTTTTAATTTATTAAAGACTTAAAAAATAATTTTAAATTTGATAATATTTGAAATAGATATTTTCTGAAGGTTGATAACTAAAGAATTTGTACTCAATATATAATTAGACAATTAACATTTCTTTATGTTTATTATACAAGAAAGGTGGAGTAACAACAATACAATTGACAACATGTTTCAGCATATTTCTTTTACACAAAAAAGAAAAGTATACAAGTGTCTTGAAATAATAAAATAATATAAGAAACATAAAGATGATATAATAATAATGAGGATAATGGTGATGATTTTGATGCAGTAGGTCGGATGTTTCGCTTTTGTTTCTTCTCTCCTTCAGTCCTATTTGTCAGGAGAGAGCAGCCTTTTCCCCTGCTTTCTCTTTCTTTCTTTTTTTGCCTTTTTTTTTACCTTCGCTTTCATTTTTATTCTTTCTTTCCAACAACTTGAACTACGTATATTGTACATGTAACTGATTGAGTTGAGAGTGAGGAAACAGGCTCCCACCCCCCATAAGTAAAAGAACAAACTATATATAGTACTTAAATATATATATATATGTGATGTTCTGGTTTCTTTCTCTCTCCTTTGAAAGGACTTTTAGGAGAGGTAGGCTTGGTTCAAAGGAGCGATTATTTTTGGAAGGTTTGTGTAGAACTTTAGCATATATGGAGGCTAGCCATGATGGTCAGGGTCAGGCCAGAAAGAGGAGTACTTCAACCATTCAGCTTCGTGTGGGTTCGTGATTGATGACTCCTGCTAAAAAACCAAACTTAGGGTTAGGGTTTAACCTATAAACAACAAACGAAGAAGCTGCCTTTTTTGTCCACTCCACAACCCGACTAATCTCATGACGCAACGTATGATAATAAAACAGCTTTCATGCTGCTCCCAAATGCATGCATATTCATTCATTCTTCCAACTCACCTCTTATGTTAACCCCAACTAATGACGGATTCAGAAATATTTTTTAGAATAAGCATATATATATTAATAATGAAAATTTTTCATATAGAGTAGACACAACTTTTTTTTAAGGTGAACAGACACGTTTAATAAAATAAACAACTAACATGATTCTAAAATGAACACGTATCCACCCTGAATTCAACCTACATCTGCCATTGACCCCAACCAAAACAATGTTGTTGACGTTATAGCTAAATTTTATAATTCGTAATATAATTATTTTTAAGATATTTTATGATGGCATGGTTTTACGTATGTTGATGAATTTTATTATTACATATTTATGCCTTACATAGTGCATGATATAATTTGACTGTTTTCTTTTAACCTTTTAAAATATTTAGGTTTCTTTCTTTTCCATTCTCTGCTCTTTATAACAACATATATTCAAAGATAAACCTAAAGAGGATGTAAGGAAAGTAGTCTATTTATTTTGGAGGCTATACACGGTTTCACAATCTACAGTAAGTAGCTGTACTTTAATTATAGGAATTCATTTTCTTTATTATATATAATTATATGATTTCATATAAAAAATGTAATCATTCTATAAATATAAAAGCATTCCTTAATGCTTTAGCTGTATTAAGCGAATCTTAATTTTATATGCTTAGGAAGAACATATAAGAAAAAGATTGCCTTAACGTATTGATTTCTACTGAATCTTAAGAAGGTGGAAAAGCAGACGTAAGCTATTGTTCATGTCAGAAAGCAGATAATTATGTTTAATTTTCTACGAAGAAAAAGCTACGCACTCACTTTAACACCGTTTTATTTATAGTATGATAGCTACCTTCATTTCTCTAAGAATGCCGAATGCCATATACTTAATTCTGGTTAGAAAAGAAAAGAATTATGAGTTCTTTCTTGTTCCTTAAGAATAATAAAGGGATAAATACCCCGTTCATATATGAATTATACTAAATTTTTAGTTTCATACGTATTTTTTTAAAAATTATTGTTTTTATACATGATGTTTTCTGCCATTAACAGATTCATCCACTTCCGTCATGGAAGATGAAATAGAACCATTGATCACGACATGTTTCATTTTAGTGACTATTTTTTTTTCAAGTGCCACGTGTCAGTGGTCGTAGCCTTTCATGACGGAAGTGGATGAATCCTTTAATGGCAGAAAATATCATTTGTGAAATCGATAATTTTTAAATATGTATGAAATTGAGAATTTGATATAATTCATCTATGAATTTAACCCAATAATATAAGGTGAAGAATTTAGGGTTTTCATTTTTCACTTCTTGTTATCTTTTTTTAATTATTTATTTATATTTCCCCTTACTTTTTCCTTTCTTTATTCCTTGCCTTGTTTAGTTGATATTATGACAAACAAGGGTCACGGGTTCTGAGGGTAAAAAATTTCATACTCACTTCTTTGATATCACTTGAAGTGCAGCCCATTATTAGTTCTTCCAAACCTGTTGCAGACCTTCCTCCCAGTTTATGATTTTGCTGCTGCTGCATATGTTCAATTCAAACAAGTTATAAGTAAACGATTAAAATAATTTCTCCATCTAAATCATATGTTTTAAGAAGAACTGAAATGTTTAAAAACAGTTCACTGTTCCAGATTCAAGATCTTATATGATCGAGTCACCCTTCAGCTTAATAAGAGCTGTAGTTAATATAAAAGTTCAGCATGTTCACGATAGGAACAACTGGTATTTTAGAAAAAGAAAGGGATAGTACCATTAAAACTGTGGTTTCTCGAGAGAAAAGTTATTAATTGCACTATTAATGGTGGATCATTATATGAGGAGAAATAATTAATGGAGTAATGATGATGATATGTATTACCTGGAAACTTTCGTTTTGAAGCATTATTCTGGAGACATGAAAGGAGTCCTCATCAAGGATGATGGAGGTGTGGTGGAGGGGAGGTGGCGAGATGATTGTGGAAATTGGATGTGAAGGCCTGCTAATATGGAACGCAGTCGTAGGAATCTGCTGCTGCTGGTGGTGATGATGAAAAAGATGATGATCATGGGCCATATGATCTGTCTCACGGTGATGCTCCGGTATCTCTTGAGTCGGCGTTTCCCTTGCAGCTGAAGCTTCTCCAATCCCCACCTGCAACAGACAAACCCCGACCATAAAATTACAGTTTGCTAGCTAGTCCATTTTCAAACACAAAACATATTCCAACACCGCTTTAATTCCTTTTTCTATAGTTTTACTCTCATTTCCAAATATTGGTCCTACTGGTGAATGAAAAAAAAAAGAATAGTTAGCTCAGAAAGATAGTCAAGTGAGGCCCATATATTTTTTTTGTTCTTCAAGTGCCGTATATACAAGCATCCCTAGAAGGCTAGAACTTTAAGATTTATTCCTTCAACTTTTATTTTATGTAAGATAAGCAAACTTTGATGTTTGAACTGTATTACGCTTTCATGAAAATATTGGATTTATTCATAAAATTTACAAGGTACAAACGGGGATGTCATTTTATGATTCGATTTCGTGATTGTAGAAGAGAGAAAACGCATTGAATATAGATGATGGAAGAATGTACCTCGTCGAAGCTTTTACTAAACGGGGAGAAACTAAGAAGTTGATCAGGTTTTAAGTGTTGGATATCCATGGCACCGGCTAGGCTTGATAAAGCAACAGCGGCGGCAACGCCGGCTCCCGACACTTCCTCTCTAAGAGGGATTAATTGTTCCTTTGAGGAACAATTCCGAACGCCGCTATCTCGCCGGTTATTAGGGTCGAAGACAACAACGTTGGTTCCTTCAACAGCTGCTGCAGCAGTTCGATCAGACCAGTTGCACTGCCTCGGTTGAGTCTGATAAAATATCTTGGACACCACAAGCTCACCTTCCTTCTCTTCCTCGTGTTGACCCAGATGATACTGGTGCATGACCCAATTAGTCTTTTCGGGTTTTCGGTTCTTCCCAAAATTCGTGTAGAGAACCAGGATTTTCTTGCAACCTTTTTGTTTGCCACTCACCATGACCGGCCTTGTCTTGCCGGTTTTGTGCCACCTTGTTTCTCCACCTTGCAAGTCACATTCGGTTTGGATTTTCCTTCTTTTTCTTGTCCCGGTGGTATAAGCCTTTGATGGTCTATGGAAGAAATGCCTGCTTAATCCATCTCTGGTCACACCTGCAAGAAATTAATAGAAAACATTAGCCAAAAGTCTAAGTTAGGTTTACTTAGGTGCAACAAATTGGAATTCATGGGGGTTGACAGTATGGTAAGACCTAATAACATTGAATAATGATGGAGGCAAATATCAAACAAGATAAAGTTGAAGGATTTTAAGAAAACCTGGGAGTTTCTCAGGATGGGTGTAACAAATCCCATCTTCTCCTTCAATTGTTGGGATGAACTCATCAATCAAAGGGTGAGACCTCATGTCTTCAGCTTCCACTTTTGCTTCCAGGTGTTCTATCAGTTCTTGATCTGTTGGATCAAATTTCACTCCTGCTGGTAGACCCAACCAGTCCTGCAACATTTTTTCATTTTTCAGTTCAAATTAAAGCACAAAAATAAAAAAGGAAGACTAAACAAAGTAAAGAGAAAAGAAGAAATCTTTAATCTTATTCTGTTCGAATATATAGTTTTGTTTTCCATTAAAGAAACAACTTGACCATCCCAAAAAAACCCTTGATTAGAATACAAGTATACTTCTGGTATTTTTTCCCCTTGATTCTTCTCTTGTCAAACTCTTGTTGTCGCAGCCAAGAATATTATGAGTTAAATCCGTACCGGTTTTCCATCTAGTTTGTGACCGCAGCCGGGACAGTGCATGGATCCACACAGCTGATGCTCTTCGAGCTTTGCATCTATGAGATCGGAGCTGCTGATGGAGCTTAGATTACTCTTATTCATTGCTTCTTGTTATCTTCCCCCCTTTCGTTGCTGTCGGTAGATGTTATCTTCGTTGCCTCAAACTCTTGAAATCTTCAATGAAATAGCCAACCTTATATAGCAGCCGGCTACTCATATCCCAGTTTGTTTCTCCATATAACACAAACCTTAACCCCGTTTTAGATCTGATATCCCTTTGTTGGGGGGGGGGGGGGGAATAAAAAAGGCAAAGGGCATAAACTGATGAATTTGATAAATATGTATATGTATAAGCCCTAGTTTTCCTCAACCGATGAAATATCCATAGTAAAAGAACGCATCAAAGAGGGGGATGAAGCAGAAGAACATACCAAAAGCCTCAATATGAACTCAGCAAACAGGGAAAAAAGAAGAAGAAGAAGAATCCGTATGTCGTATATATAAAAGTACACGTGTTTAATATCCTCGGCGCTATCTTTGTGAGAAACTATTACCTAAACTAATCACCCAAAAAAAAGAAAAATTTATGCAAAACCCAGATGAGAAATCTGCTCCAAAAGAAGAAAACTTTATTTTTTTTTCTCACGAGGAAGAAGTACTGGTACTAACAAGGAAAAGGAGAGTACTGAGAGGGAGAGAGAGAGCGAGAGAAGAAAAGAGGAAAATTTAACAGTGGGATTTAGATATAAACCTTCTTTAACCATATAGAAATCACCAGAAATTCCTCACTTATCTTTACTTTGACTGAAGCCTCCAAGTGGGAAAAAAGAAAGGAGAAAAACAGGAAAAAAAAATTTGGCCTTCATATACTTAACACACTGGCTTTAAACCCTTTGCAACTTCAAGTAGAGCTCATGATGCTAGGCGGTTCAAGAGAGAGAAGCAAAGAAAATATGGCAAAAGTAATATATACATATACATATATAGATAAAAGAAAAATACTACCAGTTGTCTGTATTTTCCTTCTGGGTTAAAGTTTAATGTCTCCCACACCTTTGTTTTAGAGGGATTGACTGCTAAAGCAAAAAGGAGAAGAAACGGCCTTCACAGCAGCGGTACACATACAAAAGCATGGCAACCCAATCTGTACTATAACTTAAATATATAATCTTTCTTTTTTTTACTTCAATTTAAAAAAAAAAGCTTATTTGATATATAGACGTTTAAGCTTAGATAATATTCAAATTAAATCCATTGGCTAAGTTCTTGAATGGTTTATATAAGTTATGAACTGAGAAATGCTCCCAGGCTACAAGATAAACAGAAAATACTAAACGTGGCGGTAGCAGAGTTTGAGTAATGAAGACGATATCTGGGGGGAAATTTCAATTCTTTGTTTAGTTTTTTTTGCCACAGATTATGGATGTGGAAAGGGAAAGTTTTTAATTTATTTTCTTATTTTTTTTGAAATTTTTATTTTCTTTTTTTAGAAGGAGAGAAAGATGGAGAGATTATGGAAAAGCGAAAAAAAACAAATAAAAATGACAAGAACTCACATGGGTTTCGAGAGGGAGTGCTGCTGATCATGATTCTTTTGCCATGAATGTTGCAGAAAGAGAGATGCAAAGAGAATAGAAGAATTACGGGGTTGCTTGACATACAAGGCAAATGAGCAGCATAGTTGATGGACCACCAGTCCTTTCTTATTACACCCGTACAAAAGCATATAAAAATTATCATATGTTTATGTTATATATATATAAAAATAATTTAATCTTCAAATGGAAGAACTTGGGGTAAATTTTTACTCATCTTGAGATAAATAGTTAAACTGTTTAAATAAGTCATAATTAGTATTTAATTATCTTTGTTTCTTCTATTAAAAAAATCATCTTTGTTTCTTTACATAAATATAAACAATAAAATTTAAAATAATGAACTTTTAAAAAAATGAAAAAAAAAATAAGATAAAATTATATCAAAGTCACTAAATTGTATCTAAATTATTATAAATGATCGTCCTAATATTATAATAAATATAAAATTAAAATATCATTTAATAATATTTCTTTAAAATTTATTTAAAACACCAAAATGAACACTTGTACTTCTATTGTAGTGAAAGACATCTCGTCGTCGAGTAGTAGCAGAAATCGGCAACTACTACATCTTTAACTTTCCCGAGGAAAATCTAAAGTGCATAACACTCGCACGCATAAATATGGTCCGAGTGAGAGCACGACGCAAGAAAGACCCGGATTATGTGGGACGCAACTTGGGATTTTTTTGATCAGAATGATGAAGGAACCAGCAATATGTTTCGCGAAACAGAGAGGTTGCCATGATTGCTTCTTTCCCTTGCCTAATTTTATTATTAATTATTATTGCAAGAATTGTGCAATTACATTGGACAGGTAATAATATGATTCGAACCTGTGAGTTTGGGGTGTGAGCAACCTTCGATTAGGTTTCTCTTTTTGTCCCAAAGAGAATGAGGGAATCAGATTGGCGTTGCTGCTCTTCAGATTATCCGGCAACTTTGACTTCATTTACATCGCACCAAAAAAGGCACCACCAAATCTTATAAGTACCCTTCATTTCTCAAGGGTATGAATATCTTATAAACACTTTTTATTATGGATTTGTATCCATTGCTAATCCATTCTGTTTATATCATTCATTAAAATATTTAACGTGAAATCAGACAATTAATGAATCGGTTCGAAAGAATATAATAAACTTTCAATGTATGCGTATTTTTTATGCCGTGTACTTGGACCAAAAAGAAAAGGCCAGGGGGAGAGGATTGTGCGCCAAACTCCGAGAATTTTGTTTTTGGGGACCATGTCTTTTGAGTAGAAAAGACAGACTTAAAGTATAATCCATGTATGAGAATATCTCTTACATGAGAATAATGCCTCGTATATCAGAAAATAATGCTTAATCAAAGTCAACGATGTCCTCTTTTAAATTTATAAGGATCAAGCCCCAAACAGAAACCGATTGCTTGTGTCTGATTAATTTAAGAGTTAGTAATATTGAAGGTTTTAGTGCATTTCTCATTGGCATTAACTAAATATCAATGAGACTGGAAGCACAAAAATGTTGGGCTGGGACCTGTCCTAGGAAAAGATTACGGATTTAGTACTGGTACACACAATTTAGGCCACCAGTTCGATTGCCACGCTCGACAAAGTTCACTTGTGGCTACCGGGCTGGGTGCGGAGGTTGGCCCAAATGTGCACCAAATATAGTTGATTCGCGTGCTAAGTAGAAAGAAATTAAAGAAAAAAATACATGTCGGTGCACGGATATAGCCGATAACGAAGGACCATGGGGGCCTGTGACTTGGCCATCTTGGGCTTTTGGGTTTGAAAACTAGCACTTGTGATTTATACTTAGAGGGTGTTTGGATGAATGTGGGATTTCCATGGGAATGGAATCCACACTCATGTTTGGTTGGCCGGGAATCTCATTCCCGGTAATATTTTATTATTAATAGTAGATTTTTTTGGGTATATTACCGGGAATGTCATTACCTCCATTTCCTTAGGTATTGTTGGATTACCGGCGTTTTGAACTAAAATGCCCTTTTTTCCCCTAAAAAATATCCTTCTTCTGTCATTGAATAATAAAAATTTTACGAATGTTAAATTACAAATTTATCCTTAAACTATTTTAGATTTACAAAAAAAAATCTATAATTAAAATTTTATATGAAGTTCAGAGGTTAAAATAAAATTTTATTCTTTCATTAAACTTTTTTATATTTTCAATCTTTTAAAAAATATATAAATTTTATGAATTTAATTTTTTTAAAGAAAATATTTAAATATTTTCCAACTTGTTAAAAAAATAAATATATAATAAGGACAATTTGGTCAAATATACATTCCAATAATCTTTTATTCTTTAACCAAACACGGTAATCTTACATTCCTGCTAAACCAACCAAACACAAAATACAACATTCTAAGTAATCCTATTCCCTGGTAATCTTACATTCCCACTGGTAATCTTATATTTCGTGAACCAAACGCACTATTGTACACGAAAAACAATGATATGTTCTACTCAAGAAAGGAATTTAATTAAATACAAATATATATCTAATATGTATAAATTTTTAATTATATTATAATTATAAAATATCATTTTAATATTTAAAAGAAATAATTATTGTAATTATAAATCTTTTATATATATATGAAATAATTTGAATTAAAATAGATATCTTACAAATTTCTAATTAGAGCCGAATTAGGATTTTAAAAATATCTATAAAGACATAAGGGTCTAACAGCCAAAAATTTACTTTTAAAGAATTAAGTTTATTGTTTCAATTGGGTGGACTAAGTAGAGGTCGTGACCTTATTGTTGTAAATCGGGAATCGACATCATTCAAAGGTGATCAGGTTTTCGATAACATCTCTACATTTTCAGAATCCTAAAAGGTAATGTTTCATCATTTTTCATCTTATCTCGTTACTCTTTTATAAATTCGATGAAGATTATGAAATTATTTTTCTATTACATCACTGAATGTATCGGCGATAATAATTTATAATTAAATAATAGTTAATATTTTCTGAAGGATAAATGTTAACTCAATAAAAAAAATATTAATCTCATTTCATTTTTTTACTAATAAAAGGATGATTTTGACCGATCTCTATAAATCTATAATTGATCTAGTCCTTGTAATACGGAACCTTAGAATTATTTTGACTCGACGTAAAATATACTCTGAAGGAAGTAAAAATAAAACAATAATTAGGTAAAAGTAATGCCGAAAAGGAAATGAATCAAAAGCAATAATTATTAAAATCTATTGAAATAAGAGATTTACCTGCACTTCCACCCCCACGTCATTTGAAAAAAATAAAAGATATATATATAAAAAAGTTATTTCCATGCAAAAAAAGACCAACAAAAAGTTAACAAAATGAAATGAATTATTTTTTTTTGTTTGGATGGTTATTCTCGATAGGCTGCCAATTGCTGATAGACTTCGCAGAAGTATTGAGGTGGATGATAAGTGTAGATTGTGTGGAGCTGTGCCTGAGACTCGCAGTCATATCTTTTTTGAATGCTCGTTTTCGAAGGCTGTGCGAGAGGGGATTGTACGACTGTGTAATGTTAACAGAATTGTGGGGACTTGGGATGAGGAATTGAATTGGACAATATCTCGGTTCAAAGGTAAAACGTTCTTTGTGTTTATTCTTTGAATAGCTTGGTGTGCATACGTTTACTGTATATGGGAGGAGAGGAATCATAGACAGATTAGGAGCATTAGTAGAGAGATTGATGATGTGGTGTTTTGTATTAAATAGATAATTAGGGTGAAGGCAGCTAGAATGATCATCAAGAGTAGTGTAATTAATCGTAACCTTTGCCTAGCTAGGGGATCATCACCCCCTAGAAAGGCTGTTTTTGGTTTTTGCTGTCTGTATTGATTGTAGCAGTGAGTTTTTTTTATCTATTGCTTCTTGGATAATAACATGAGGAATTTATCCAAAAAAAAAAAAAAACAAGACCAACAAAGATGTGGTCGGCCATAATCCAACGTGAGCTACATTCCAGGTATTGGACTATTCAACCCAAACAACGACCTGTCAGTGCAAAAGGATTATATTCCCGATCTTCCTGTAAGTTTTTTCCCCTCTTCATTCTACGTATAATTATACGTATCTTTGCTTTTCCTTTTGATTCTGTTTTCGTCGTTTCTCCGTTACCGGCAAAAAGGATTAAAGAAAAAAAGTAATTCTTTTGACAGACTGATCCCAATCCGTTGCAAGATTTAAGTAAGCCCGATTTTACTGCTCGTTGATACAGAATTTACTTGTTATATAAATTTTCAAATATGGTAATTTTGATAAATTAGTATTAATCGGACCTATTTTCCTATTTTATTAAGCAGTACTTTGTCAATGTAGATGACACTGTTCCTCAAAAGGTTAGCCCTCCTGAGTCCTTTGATTTCACACACACATAAAAGTGTCCGAGACTTCGCTTCAAGTTCTATTTTCTGTTTATAGATTGTTGTTCACAAGATAGCCCAAGAGGTATACATTTCTGACGAGCCGGACCACGTCAAAGGGTAAGTGTTTAATGTTTGATGATCGAGATATGGAACGATGAGACACTGGATTTATATCGATGCACTGGATTTTTGATAGGTGTATTTTAACTCCGATGAAGTTCAAGCCTGTATTGTTACTTGCGGTGGACTCTGCCC